GAGAAACACCTTCCACTCTGGCTTAAGTCTAAGGCCATGGAAACCAGGGGTACCCAGCCCATCTAAAAGTGATATTCGAGGCGGGGCACCCAGAATGCATGAAGAATTCTTGGAGTGGGCGCCAGAGTGACAGAACAGCCCATAAGGCACTTGCCAGGCAGGAATCTGATGGCGGTCCATCCTTGGTACTATACATGGTACCCTGAGCACTGCCAGGAGTGACCCCTGAGCGCACAGCCAGGTGTGGACCAAAGAATAAAGAAATAAACACTAGAGAATCCCCAGAGTGTAAACATTGTGCTGATTTTTTTAAAAAATTAATTAATTGGTTGATTTCTATTTAATCACTGTGATATAACCCTTTCAAAGCTGTTCATGATTAGATTTCATTCATACAGTGTTCCAACACCCATCCCTCCACTACTATACTGTACATCTCCCAGCCTAGGGTCCCCAGGTTACCTCCCATCACACCCCACCCCCTGCCTGCCTCTAAGCCACTTCTCTCTCTTTCCTTCTCTCTCTCTCTCTCTCTCTCTCTCTCTCTCTCTCTTTCTCGCCCCCTTATCTTCTTTGGGCACTGTAACTTGCAATACAGATACTGAAAGGTTGTCATGTATATCCCTTTACCTATTTTTAACACTCAATTCTTGTCTAGCGTGGACATTTCCAACTATTACTGTCATATTGTTCCCTTCTCTATCTTACCTACCCTCCGCCCCACACACACTTGGGGCAGAAGGTAGGTAGGATGGCTGTTCTCACATACCTGCCCCTACCCCCCTCTTGTCCTTTGCATTGGACAGTTCTCCTAGCCCTTGTTTTCCGTGGCCTTGGATATTAATCTTCTACTGTATATTTTTTGTATACCACAAATGAATGAAGTCCTTCTATATTTGCCCCTCTCATTCTGATTCATTTCATTCAGCATGATATTCTCCATATCCATCCATTCATAAGAAAATTTCATGAGTTCATTTTTCCTAACAACTTCATAGCATTCCATTGTGTAGACGTGCCATCATTCTTTATCCATTCAGTCATCCACCCATCCCCCATCCACCCATCCACCCATCTACATATTCACCCATCCACCCATCCATCCATCCACACATTCACCCATACACACATCCACCCATTCAAACGTTCACCCATCCACCCCTCCACCCATCCACCCATCCACATATGTATCCATCTACCCATCTTCCATTCACCCATTCACACTTTCACACATTCACCCATTCCCTATCCACTAGTCCATCAATCTATCTATTCACCCATCCACATTTCTACCCATCCACACATCCATCTACTCACCCATCCACACTTCCACCCATCCACCCACCCACCCATCCACATGTCCACCCATTCACCCATCTACCCATTCTCCCACCCACACACCCACACATCTACCCATCCATCCACCATTCTTCCATTAACCATGCATCCAACCAGCCAGCCCTGCGAAAGGCTTGTTTCGTTGTTCAATTCCTCTCCCACCTGTTCTCCATGCTGCAGCCACGGGGATCTTTTCAACACACAAACCTGAAGGTTTCACACTTCTGCTGCCTAGAAAGCTCCCAGGGGAGTGACAGATTTCCTCTGGGGAGTGACAGACCCTGGTGGTGGGACCTGCCTCTCCCTGTAGGCTCAGATCACACACAGCTTCTCCTACTTAAGTTCCAAGCAGCGCCCACAGTCAGTCAGCAAATACTCAGAAGGTGGTGGGGAGCTGGAAATTGGGCAAGCTGCAAATATGAATACCAGAGAAATCAACAGAAGCTAAAAATTCCCCGCCTCCCCCCACCCCCGGGAGAGCTGCTCAGCCTGAATGCCGTCCTCTCCCTGGAACTCTCTGCCTTCTTCTCTGTGCTGACTTTTTCTCCACCAGACCTCGGTCCAATCACCACCTCCTCCAGGAAGTCTTCTTGTTGTCTCAGATTAAGCCAAACATCCCATTTGAACCTCTCCTTCACATGGAGAGGTTAAAAGAGAGCTTGCTCTATCTTTTTTTTTTTAGAGGATTTCTTTTTCTTTTTGGGTCACATCCGGCGATGCACAGGGGTTAACTCCTGGCTCTGCACTCAGGAATTACTCCTGGTGGTGCTCAGGGGACCATATGGCATGCTGGAAATCGAACCCGGGTCAGCCACATATAAGGCAAACGCCCTACCCGCTGTGCTATCACTCCAGCCTCAGGCTTGCTCTATCTTTAATAGCTGCCTTTCTACCTTTGGATGAGCCCCAATCTCTCTGGGCCCCAGTTTCCCTACTGGCAAAATGAAAGTATCCTGCCAGGTTATCTCTGAAATCGTCTGTCTTCACATTCAGATGTCCCATTTGTCTCTTTCCCTGTCCGCTGCCTCACGCCATAAGCAGGGGTCATGCTTGCTAAGCAGGAGTGTCCACCTGGCACATTTCAAGTCCTTTTCCCCAGATAAAAAATCTGCCAGTAACGGGGCTCATCTGGGGCTCCCAGACTCCCATGGGGAGGCTGAGGAGTTTCTGAAGACCAACGAGAACCCCTCTACCCCAGATCCTGCTAGGGGCACTGTGGGTCCCCACCGGGAGCCGCCGGGCCAAGAGACAGCCTAATTAAACCTTTTCTTTCCCCAGAACGTTTGCATCGCCAGACCCAGGAGGACAGAACGTGTCTCCCTGGCAAACAGTAATGAGAGAGAATAATAAAGTCACCCTTGGGACATCACACTTGGGCATGGCAGTTGGCAAGAAATTCATGTCCGGCATGCAGCAGGTACAAAATAAAGACTCATGGAAGGGTCACCCTAGTCCAATGGTGCTCACAGCTCAAATGGAACTCCATACCCATCCCGCATGAACCCTGCGTAAGTCCTGCATGGCCACGGTCACCCAAAGCACCCTGGGTTCACAGTGGGGACAAGGAATTCTAAGGATGCTCCCTTTGCAGAATGGATCCCAAGTCCTGTGTGTTGGGGTGCTCCAGGGAATGGGGGCTGGTGTGGAGGGGAGAGCTCTGAGGAGCAGGGCGGAGTCACACTACAAAGAGCTGCCGGTTAAGTAAAGGCTCTTGGTTTCTCCCTAGAGAAGTTTGATTGGAGGCTTTTAGGTCAGGGAGAGGTAGCAACAGCATTGCATTGCAGAAACAGCTTTTTTTTTTTTTGATGCCCCAGAGGGGGATGGGAGGGGGCAGAGATGGAGGGGTGTGGAGAGAGAGAAGTAAAGAAAGAGGAGAGAGAAAGAGAGAGGAAGAGAGAGAAAGAAAGAGAGGAAGAGGAGGAGAGAGAGAAAGAAAGAAAGAAAGAAAGAAAGAAAGAAAGAAAGAAAGAAAGAAAGAAAGAAAGAAAGAGAGAGAGGATGACTTTGACCAAAGAATCAACATTTTATAAATTCTGCAGCCAGGACTTAAAAGCAGCCTCTGCTCCCTTCCTCAGGAAAGCCAGTCAGCCCTCTAAGAAGTCACAGCCGCAGGGAAGGGAACTAGCCAGCTGGAGTTTTAACCCAGTGCTGGACAGTGGGCCTGGAGCACGGGGTGCTGAAAACCACCCGGCAGAGCCCAGTCAGCTCCGAAAAGCATGAGGACAAAAGAATTGTTCTGAGCCACCGAGCCAGGGGGGGGTCCCTGTGCCTTGGGCAGTGATCACTGGGGAGCCCTGCAGAGGAGACGTCCAGAGCAGCTCAGCACAAAGGGGCTTGCTTGAGTCATTTCACACTGGGGGTCAGCAGCTCACGGGGATGAAATCATTATCAGGGGTTCCCAAACTCGCCTGGCCCACAGCCCCCTTCAGTCATTTGGGGAAAAAAAGCCACTAAAGCACCTCCCTGAAAATCTAGCTTAAGAGAACAAAGTGCTCTGCATGGCACCCCAGGGTGCTACTACCCACCTCCTGAAACACACCAGCACCCCACTGGGGGCCAGTATCGCCCTTTGGGAAATGGCTGCTCTACGCTCATCCGTGTGCACAGTGTGTACTGAATGCTTGCGGGGATTAAATAAAACCCTGCACAGAACAAAGCACAGACACTCAGTGTTTGAGGATCCGAGACAGCCCCTCCTTCCCCTGCCTGCATGTCCATCCCCGCCCATCCCCCGACACACATGCATGCGCACGCACGCACACAAACATGCACACACATGCATGCACACACGTGCACACACACGCACACAACACGTGCACACATGCATGCACACACATGCACACATGCACACGTGCACACACGTGCACAACACATGCACACACGCCCCCCGCACACACAAAGCGTGTGCACACACATATAACCTGCATACACATGCACACACTCACAAACACACACACGTGTGTGCACACACTGACAATGTCAGCATATTCCTCTTAGTGCTCCACTTCCCCATAGGGTGTGCCTGCCCTGACTGCCGGCTGCCGGCTTTAACCAGCCTCACAGCCCCAGGTGGGCCCTTTTTTCTGGAGGCAGCTGATGGGCTTGGGCTCCGCACACCCCGCTTGCCTTCAGGAGGACCGGGGTGTTTCTGGCAGCACCACCTCTCCTCTGTAAACAGGGGTGAGGATCTCTGCGCAGCGAACTAGCAGGCTGGAGTGACAGCAGAGCCGGGAGGGAGGGTGCTGGCATTGCAGGCGGCCAGGCCGGTTCGGTCCTGGACATCCCATATGGGTCCCATATGAGTACCGTCCAGAGTGATCCCTGAGTGTAGGTTTAGGACTAAGCCCTCAGTACCGCAGGGTGTGGTTCCCCGGCTCCCCCCCTCCCCCAAACAAATAAGCAGATAAGGTGAATTCTGTCGCTGTCCTCCCAGGACGCCCTTCTCACCCCTCCCAGCCCCACCTGCCCGTTTCTGGACCAACACCTGGCGGGCAAAGCTGGGAGCTGGGGGAGGTCCAGCTCTGCGTGGTCCCAGGTTCGCACTTGGCAGCCCGGGGGCCGGGGGCAGGGAGCCGGGCTGGGGGGCGGTCGGGCGGGGCCCCAGACCTGCAGGGCCCGGCGAAGGGGCGGAGGCCCGGTCACGTGGGCGGGGAGGGGGCGCCGCTGACGCGGGGCGTGCAGGGCGCGCGGCTGACGCGCTCGGGGCCGCCCTCCTCGCTCCCCCGCGCCCCTCGGGGACAGCTGCAGGCGCGCGCGGCCCGCGGGGCGACGGGCGGCGGCCACCATGGTGCTCTCGGTGCCCGTGATCGCGCTGGGCGCCACGCTGGGCACGGCCACCAGCATCCTCGCGCTCTGCGGGGTCACCTGCCTGTGTCGGCACATGCACCCCAAGAAGGGGCTGCTGCAGCGGGACCGGGAGCCCGATCCCGAGAAGGCCAGACCAGGTGTGCTCCGGCCGGCCCAACAGGTGAGCAGCGGTGGTGGTGGGGGGTGGGGGGGCACTGCCTTGATTTCCCGGGGTGACTAACGTGGGGAAGGGGGTCGTCTGGCGAGCTGCGGTGGTGACGGGGACGTCACGGTTCTTTGCCCCGGTGGGGTGGGGGGCACGGCAGAGAGGAGGGAGGAGGGGGCGGGTGAGGACGCATCCACCAGAGATGGGGGTAGGTTGGGGGGGGAGGGGCTCACCTGAAGAAGGAATGGGAGTGCTCAAAGAGGGGTGTGGAAATGAGGGTCGAGCTCAAAGAGGGGTGTGGAAATGAGGGTCGAGGGTGGGATGGGGAGCGGGAGGGGGGGCGCGGGAGGCTGTGAGCCCCAGGAGCATAAGGCACTTGGAGGGGGATGTGAAAGGGGGCTGCAGGGACCAGGGGGGTGTCCCAGAGGGGATCTTGAGCCGGGGATGATTTAGAAGCCCGCAGAATTGCGGGAAGAGGAATGGGGAGGGGGAGGGAAGAGGAGGTGGGCTGGGGGGTGTGGGAAGGGCTTTGGTGGGGAACCAAGAGGTTCACCCCAAAATGGGAGGGGAGGTGGCTGCTCTCCCTATGGCTCTGGAGGTGACCATAGACAGCTGGGGGAGGGGCAGGCTATCTTGGGGTGGGGGGCATGAAGGACGCTTGTGCCCTCCCACCAGCTCTGGAGATGGAGGTGCTGTTATTTATTGTTTGTTTTTCGGGTCACACCCAGCAGTGTTCAGGGGTTACTCCTGGCGGTGCTGGGGTGGGGGGACTCTAGGGGATGCCGGGGATCGAACCCAGGTGGGCCGTGTGCAAAGCAAACACCCTCCCCTATGGTACTATCATGAGCCCCACAGAGAGTGTTTATCCCTTGTGGGTCCCCAGAACCCTTTTGTAGTGGTGCTCTACAGTGAGTGATTTTCACCCGTTGCAGAGCTCCGCAGAAGGGGTCTGGGAAGAGGGCTGGAAGGACGGCACCCCCCAAGCTGTGAACCCCAGCTGTGTTCTCCAAGTGGGAGTGCCAAATGCCCCCCTACACACCAGAGGAGCAGGGGAGCCTCCCCGCTGGAGCTCAGGTCCGCTCAAGCCCAGCTCCCCCTGTCCTTCCCCATCAATTATTCAGCAGCTCTGAGCCTCAGAGTGTGTGTGGCTGGTGGCCGTCACTGGATCGAGGGTGCCAAGGACGAGGCTGCTGTCCTTGACCATCCAAACAAGTGACAGTGAGGCTGGCAGGAGGAGCGGGAGGGCTGGGGGTGGGGAGGCGGGCAACTGGATCCATCTGGAAAGGGGAGCGCTGGGCTCCCCACCGCTGGCCCCAAGGGCCATCAGCCCATCTGCAAGGACCAGCTGTCACCTCCCCTTCCTCTCCCCGTCCCGGCCCCCTCTAGGGACAGCTGCTCAGGCCCTGCCAGGCTGGCTCCCGAGGCTCTTCCCATCCCGTCCCCACCTGCAGACAGAGGGGTGAGACGTCAGTGTAGATGACACCTGGGCCCCCCAGGCCAGCTCTGTTTTAGCGACAGCCTATGGCCCACACACAGCCCAGCTTCTGTTCAGAGACACCAGCTCTTGCCTCTCCGGACTTCCAATCCTTCACAACTTCTTCTTGCAAACCTGGGGACCCATCATAGCAACCCCTCGCGAGGTGCCCACACACGCGTGCCAGGCTATGCTCCAAAGCGCTTTGCACAGAATCTCGTGTGGCAACTCGGTGAAAGATGGGCTTGACGACCCCAACTGGGTGATGGGAAAACGCAGACTCAGAGAGGGTGCGCGACTTTCCCAAAGCCACACAGCAAGACCTTCTAGAGCCAGATTCTAGCCATGGTGGGTGCTGGAGCCCCTATTAGCCTCACCCGTCCACCCCCTCCGGGTAGGATGGACAGGTATCTGCCTCTCAGTTGTCCATGGCAACTCCCCTCTTCCCTGCAACCTCGCCCTCCTGGAACTAATGAGCTTTCAGTGGGGTGGGGAGAGGGGAGACTGTTGACGCCACACCCAGAGGTGCTCAGGGGCTAGTCTTGGTGCTGAGGCTTGAACCAGGGTCAGTGAGGCAAACGCCTTGGCCCTCGGGCTGTCTCTCAGGCCCCTTGATGAGCTTCTTAGCGGCCAGAACAGCTTCTCCGGACAGAGGGGGCCTTCTCATCCCCGAGGTTTCTTCCTTCGAAATGGCATCTTCTTGCAGAGGAATCTGTAACCGCCACAGGGAACCAGCCCCTTCTGCCCCTTGTAGGTGATGGATTCCAGGACTCTGGCCTCTAAAGCAAGTGCTCACCCCCCAACCCCTGCTGAACCGTCCTCCAGCCCGCTGCCACATTCCTTCACCGCTAGCCCTGCTTACAACTGAACTGGATCTCCCGTACTTGCTTACTTGTCTAATATTTATCCCTAGCACCTAGGGGTGATGGCAACCTGCTGGGTGCCTGGTAATAAATTGAAGGCAAGGGGCCAGAGTGACAGTAGTGGAGGTAGGGGGCGTTTGCCTTTCACATGACCAACCTGGGTTCGATCCCCAGCAGCCTATATGGTCCCCTGAGCACCACTGGGAGTAATTCCTGGACACAGAGCCAGGAGTAACCCCTGAGCATTGCTGGGTGACCCTCAGATCCAAACAAATAAATAAATAAATGTCCTTTTAAAAAAATTGGGGACAAGCAAAGGGACCCTAGTGTCCAGATGCCTGGGCTTAAGTCTAAACTGATTTTTGTTGTTGTCGTCGTTTGTTTCAGGACCTGGCTCTGCACTCAGGGATCACTCTGCGTGGAGCTTGGGGGACCATATTTGGTGCCAGGGATAAAATTAGGGTGAGCTATACAAGGAGAGTGCCTTAACCCCTGTGCCATCTCTCTGGCCCTGTAGAATCTGAGCAGATTCTAGAGACATGGGTGCCTGCCACCTCCACTTGCAACCCGGACTGGCAGGGGGTGCACAGAAAATGTTTTGGGATGACTCGGGCACTCCCTGAGTGCCCTCAGTGGTCTGCACTTGGGTGACACACGCGTCTCGGCCCTCTGCGGTGATGCTGAGCACTTACAGGGCTCTTGGCGGGCGTGATGACCCAGATAAAGTAAATCAAGCCACAGAGGACATTTCAAAGGAAGGGTGGTCAGGATGCGTGTTATCAAGGGGCTGGAAAGGAGAAGGGGTCTGGGGGTTGGGGGACAGGGTTCTGGCTTCTTGTCACCCCTGGGTGTCTGCAGAGGGGCTACCCGTGTCCCTTTAAGGTGCTGGTAGTGGCTGGTGAGAATGTTCCTGGGATCATTCTCTGCTGCTGCTCGGAGTTGGAGCTCAGCATGCTTTGGGAAACCCTCATGTTTTTCCAGGGCTTCTTAGCCTGTGGTCCCCGGCTCCCCTGTGGGCAGGAATGAAGGGGATTGTGGTCATAGCGAGAAACTGCTCATGCATGCTTCCTCACGAGTCTCTGTCATTAGCCGGGCGATAAATAACAGCCACGGAGCTCTGTCCGTGATGGCTTCTGGGCACCCCCCTCCCCAGCTGTGGTCCAGGCTGAGTTTCGAGACTGACTCTCCAGCCTGTGAATGAATGAATGAATGAATGAATGAACATGAGGCACCCAGAGCCACTGCCCACAGAGGACAACTGCCACTAGAGATTTCTTTCCAGCGCTATGTCTTTATATGTGTGTGTGTGTGTGTGTGTGTGTGTGTGTTGTATACATGTTTAAGCCTCCTAAGGGGGCAGGGTGACATGGAACCAACAATGGCAAGTATTTTGACAAGTGGGAGGCAGGAAGAGGTAGGAACCCTCCCTCCCCCATCACCCCATTCCCTTCTACCAGCTCCCATTCTCCCTCCCACCAGCTCTCATTCACTTTCTTCTTTCTTAGCCTAAATACACCCTTCACCATGTACCTCCCCTTCCCCGCCCCCCCCACACACAGCCTGGGGTGGGGGAACTCAGAGCTTCTGACTCCCTCCATCTCCCACTGCTGTTCTTGCAGGGATATCTGACAAGGGGCTGGGGTCTCAGGGCAGCTGAGCATGACCCAGGGCTTTGCACCTCTTTTTGGGTCCTTTCACAAGATGCCCCCTTCCCTACCCCCTCACGCTTCCAGAAGCTTCCTGCCAGCTTTGCTTCCCGCATCCAAAGCTCCGGCCCTTGGAGGCCTCCCAGGAGAGGTTTTAGAGCATTATGAAGGTTGGATATGAACATCAATGGGATCAACTCAAGTCACCGTTTTCATTACTGAAAGGACTTTGGGACTGTCCTCTAGATCTTTATATAAGAGTCAAGAGATGGGCTCTGCATAAGAGGCCACAGCCCTCTGCCTGCCTTGCCTGACTCCTCATAGGAGTTGGAGACCATCGGGGACACTTGTCACCCTCGGCCCCACCTCATCTCTGGCTTTACCCTTGGAGCAGAAGCCTTCCTTTCTGGAGCTAGTCAGCTCATTCGCTGAAGGCCACTAGGCATGATTTTGGCACCAAATAGCAAAGACTGGGCAGACACAGTCTCTCCAGACCAGGTACCGGCAGACCCAGGGGACCAGCAGGTGAACTGGGGAAATGGGAGTCGGGGGTGGAAGAGGAGGGCAGGGGAAACCCAAACTAGAACTTTCTCCCCTTCCGGTGCCTGCCCTGTCCACATCTGCCCTGGACCTTCATGATCATACTAGTCCTCCCTGCCCAAATTGCTAACCCCTCCCACACCTGGACTGTTAGATTCAGGGCTACTTGAAAGCTGCCCTCTATGGAGTCAGGGGCCCCTTTTAAAAAGGACCCATTGCTGGATTGGAGCCGTATTACAGCGGAGAAGGTGCTTGCCTAGCACACAGCTGATCCAGAGTCAATCCCTAGCTCCCAAAAAGGCCCCCTGAGGCCCCTCAGAGTGATCCCTGAGTGCAGAGCCAGGAGTCAGATGTGGCCAACTCCCTCCCCCCCCACACACATGCACACAAATAAGAAGAATTCATTGCTGATGACAACTCCTATTTATATAAGCAAACCCTGACAAGACCCATTTCCTTAGCGCTATCAATAGTGATGCGCCAATCAGATTC